TTTTTACAGTCTTAAGATCATATAGTTAAGATGAGAGATAAAATGCTTCTATTTACATTTTATGTTGTCTTTTAACATATATTCTCAAAATAACGTATATTTAAGAGACTAACATACATGTTTATTTAACTGGACAGTAAAGCTTAGTTATTCAGGAGAATAAAAGAGTCTCATGTTTGCAGTTGGAACAGATATAGATGATAGATAAACAAACAGATAATATCCACTCTGATTTATGAAAAAATGCTTCTTTGAAAAGCCTCACAGTTTTTAAAGAATAAAAAATATGAGAATTTCCTTTAGTGTCTAGAACTAGAAATGCAGAAAATACAAATTGTGGAACTCTATAAAAACTTCAATTCTTCTGGCAGTTTTCCAGAACTCCCTATAATGCATGATGATTGTGTAATGTGGAAATCAGGCAGGCATGAATAATAAAGCTAGCTATCTCTTCCAGCAGTAACATAGTGGGGGGAATTGGCTCACAATATCAATTCAGGGCAACATCTGATCAAGCTACAACAGCAGCCCAAACAAGTACAGTACTGGGATCAACTCAACAACTGAATTGAGCTTATATTGACTTGTTCTTATTTAAAAAAATTCTCAGCAGTCTAATTTATTGGAACAAAGAAATAACATTTTTTTTTAAAAAAATCAGTTTCTGTGGAGCAGAGCTCTGAGTCATGTTTGCATCGTTAGTTAGAAGATAAATATTCCCAATTTGCTTCATGTTGACTATGCTGATCAATAGTGCCAAGTTTTAATTAAAAGCTCTAGCATACCTTCTATTGCCTCATTGTATTCGGTGCCAGATGTCCTATCTCTTGTCCGTTCTAACCTTTCCTGTTCAAGGTGACCTAAGAGCCTCACAGTTTATGACTTATGTAGATTGAAATAGTAAAAGGAGTAAAATTTGGAATAAGGTTGTACAGGCAACATTTCCTTGATATTAATAGTGTGATGATTTTATTGTGGATTGCTGGCTGATCACTCGGACCACTTGTTCACATAAAGTTTTTATTTGTGCCATTTTAGAATGGACTGATTTGAGTAGAAAAGAGAATTACTTCAGAGAAGTTTGACTAGTAAGGGGCAGAGTAGGAAAACATTTTGTTACTCGTTCAATAAAAACTTAGATGTTAGGAACAGCCAATAGCTAATGGCTTATATTTTGATATTTTGAAATTCAAGAGTTCCTGCTTAGTATATTTCTTTTCGGTTTATGAGAATTTAAAAAACTGCATGTTTCATACGTAGCGCAGGGACATGAACACAACCCTTTGTTTACTTAAGCTCCTTTCAGTTTTAACCTTGGGTTCCCTTTAGATAAGAATAGAACCTTGTCCTCCAGCCGAATGCAGCTTATTCAGTTCTTTTAAATATGTCTTTTAGGTATGTCCAGAGACCAATCAAGTCATCATCAATATTGGACTTTTACTGCTTGCATTTCCTTCTCCAGATGAAGAGGGACAGCTCAGGTGAGTCCAGTGCCAGGCTAGACAGTTCTTTGGATTTGTTTCCAAGATTGTATGTCTGCTGCACAAGCCTTCCTGCAGCAATGTTGCAATTCTGCAAAAAGGCACAACTACTTTAAAACTCCCAAGTGCTTCTGCATATTCTGAAGCACTGAACAAATCTGAAGGTCTGCACTTCTACCAGAAATTTAAAATTATATATCCCAGGTATTAAAATACATTCTCAAAATGTTTGGAGACAATATATGCTATCTATATGAGGAAAAAAATTCTTGGGAGCGACTGTTATATAAGGTTGGGAAAATGTTGATATAAGTAGGTGTATAATTTGTCTGAGTGTATTGGATGGGTAGTCTTCTAATTGTTACTATCATCTGCAGACCAAAGACATATCACACCAGCCTCAAAGTGGCATGGGATCTGAATACTGGCATCTTTGTCACTGTCAGTGTAGGTGATCTCACAGAAGTCAAAGGGCAGACCAGGTAAGACAGGGTTGACCTATTATTTTTCTGGGGGTATATTTATCCTTGATTTTTTTAAAACCATTTTTCTATTGCAATCTTTCTAATGAAAATCAGCCCTTCAACTCTTTCCTCAGACATATTTTCCTTTCTGCAAAGATTTTCAAAAGGTATCATTCCATGTCTCCTGATGGAAGTGAATGGCGATCATTATTATATAGTGGCAAAATTAAAGGAATATAGGGAATAATCTGTCACTTGTTCTGATGATCTTACATTTGAGGGCAAGTTGATTAGTATTTTTCCATGATTCTAAATGCTGTATCAAAATTATCCATGTGTGAACTCTGGGCTTGTTAACTAACCCTAGTTCCTCCTCTCAGTGGCAGTGTGTGGAGCTCCTACCGGAAAAGCTGTGTGGATATGGTAATGAAGTGGCTGGTACCAGAGAGCAGTGTTCGCTATGTCAACCGAATGACCAATGAAGCCCTTCACAAAGGTATTTTCGGTCTTGTGGAAGTTTCATTGTAATCAGTGGATTCAATTGGCTGACCAATATTGACATAATAGCCAGTCTTCAATCAAAGAAATGTTTGGTGCTTTCTGTCTTTGACATTCTTTATGAAAAAAAATTTAGGATACTTTTTATATAACATTTGTAATGTTAAAGAGTGTAGACATCTGTCTTGATTCTGGATTTTTGGAGATTTGATTCAATCTCTGAATGATCATGGCCCATGAAGTATCAGCAATCAATTACTATCTTAGTTTCTGATTTCAGATAGCAGATTTCCAGAAATTCCATCCAAGGTGACTTTATAACGTAGTTAGTTTTGGATAGACCTGTATTTCAAGGACACTAACTCCTGGCAAACTCTTTTTTTTTTTTGTAACTGCAGGTTGCTCGTTAAAATTCCTAGCAGACAATGAGCGCTACACATGGATTGTCTTATGAGATCTGATTCAGAAGCAAAACTTACAACAATTGTTCATTTTTTGCCATAACTGTATGTCCAGTTCAACTACCTCCTTGTTAAACATTTTTAATTTTCCCATTTCTTTAGAGTATATGTTGCCTAGATAATCTTGGAAACGTTAGATTTTGTGAATAGAAACACATCCTCGTCCTTCCTTGTCGCTGTTGGGGGGTATATGTGAAAAAGCGAGGTTTGAGACTGAAAAACAAACTTTTCCCTTGCAAACTAGGATTATTGTTTAGGATGGCTCAGCTTCAGCTGATTTAGAAAAAGCAGAAAGTAGCTGTTTAACCTTCTCTAGAAATCTGTATTTGGTGAAGCTACAAATGGGATAGGTGAGAATATCTTGTAAGATTTCACTCCCTCTAATGCAGGGGTGTCAAATTTGCGTTGTCACGGCGTTGTCATGTGACATATCAGGACTTTCCCCCCCCCTTCGCTAAACCGAGTGTGGGAATGGCCAGCGTGTGACGCATCTGGCCCATGGACAGGCCTGCTCTAATGCAAGAACAAATTATTCCAAGGCAACAATATTGTTTAAGGAGACCAAATCCTTTTCTTGTTTCAGTGTCATTTTGTACTTGTTACTTTATCCATTTTTTCCTTCCTGAACATAAATGCCACCCCACGTCACATACCTAGTGGACTGATTACAAATGTTTTCTCTGTTTTCTCTCCAGCAGGTTTTATTTCCTGCAATAAATATTTTAAACTGAGACTAACTCTTGTTGTTTCTTTTCCTCTTTCATGAAAAACTCAGTAGGAATTACAGCATCACAACAGAATTTTCACACCGGTTGACATAAGGGAATGTTTATCTGGAAAGTGTGCGCAAATTTTAGATACTGCTTGTTATACAAGAACATTCCATAATTTGCACTGGCTATCATGACACATTCTTTTTTTCATGATGCACCTAGGGTCCCTGGGTGATCTGTCCATGCTTAGATTTGTCCAGTTGGAGTAAGGCGTTTCTGAATAGATAGTATAAATAACTATAATTATAAATATTTTTTCATAATGTCCAAAAGAACATTGTCTTAAAAGATGGTAATTAAAATTTAGGATGGGTGTGAGAGCATCATTTCCCTTTCATTGGCAGCCTTCACTTTGAATCAGAGGTAACAGTCCTCATGAATAAAATTCATATATTAGTAAAAATACCACTATAGGAATTTCAAGCCTTAAGAAGTTTAATATAAATGTGTTCTACTTCACAGTTATGTGAAGTTTTTATATAACTTTTTATATAACTCCAACAGAAACATACTTGCCTGAAAAACCTCTGATTTAAAAAAAATGTATTGCAGAAGCTATACAACAACTGAGAAATAGCAAAAAGGAGCCAAATGGCATTAAATCCTTTAAGGCTATGCTCATTCCATTTGAAGTAGCTATGTAAAACATCAATTTTATTCATCCTATCTAAATAGCTCTGCTGGGATGGGGCACTAGAAGATGAATTTTTAAACATGACTTCAGATGTGAAATGGATTTATTCCTCCCTGCTATTTGTTGTCTCTCTAAATTGTATGAAGGGTGGAATATAGCTCTGAGCTTCTTTAGATCTGCAGTTCCCAAACCCTATGCCATGGCAGGCACCACAGCAAACTGCAAGGCAGCATAAGGTATTTAATAAATGGAACTGTTAGGCAGTTTGCTACAGCATTCAGGACATATTGAACCAAGAAAGTTTGGGAACCTCCGAAAGTTCATCCACGTCATAGAACCTGTGTTGAAATTGCCAAGCAGGTATCTTGATTTTAATTTTGCACACGAGGGCTGAAATGTGAACTCATTTTGCAAGAGTAAGCAAGCAGCATCCTAGGCAAAGAACACGGCTGAATTTATTTCTTAAGAAAGAACTACAAAAGGTAGAAAACAGCTGTTGCACTCTAGACTACACAGACATACATCATCTGACCACAGGCACTGCCCATCTCATGGACCCAGGACACCTACAAAGCTCTTCAGACTCCACTTGAAGTCTATAAAACAGCTAAAGCTGCTGCTGTTGCCGCCGCACAAAAGATTGACACAAAATATATATTTTATACAATATGTAGATTTTGCAATAAACATCTATATCACAGGTTTAAAACACTGGAAAAATTGAACAAATAAGGCCATGATGGTTGAAAAACCCAAAAATATCAAGTAATTTATCTTCACCAATCTCACAATATTTAGGTGGTTTATAGAACAAGAATTAGTTATTACATAGAAAAGCACAGATATTTTTGTTTAAAACTAGAATATCTAATATTCAGTTACAAACCAGAAGAGTGATTACTTTCACTAGAGTAGCAAGTAATCAGATCTGTTTGCTTAGTTACTAGCACAGAGAGGGAACAGGACTGGTTTGTGTGGGCTACTAAACATACTCGGCAAGTATTTCTGCAATCTGTAGAATCCAGACTGACTTGGGTTTGCTAACAACTGTTCCTAGCTGCTCTGCAGCCAATTTGCTTAGTGAATGGAGATAATTCTGGTTCAGAGAGAAAGGATTTTGTTGTGTAAGGCAGCAACTGAATACAAAGGTAAGCTTATTCGTGTTGTTGGTCTTGTGTGATTGGTGGATCCAACATTATGCAGTTTATAGAGAGAATAGCTAGCTCACAGAAGCAAGGTTTTTGTGAACAATTAGATCCATTTCTTTACCAGAATTGGGACTGTCATAAAGCTAAATGTCAATCTGCATACATTTCGGAGAGCAAGGACTGGGGGAAATGCTGGAACAGAGGAATCTATTTCTCAAAACCTGATTAATGCTTGTCCTTGTAGATATCATTGGTTATCCTGTTGGGGCACGAAACATACTATTCACTGATGGGTATACTCGTACATCCAACAAACCAAGGTATGCATATGTCCAGGACAATGGAATTGAAATTTTAAGTATGCCACAAGAAACGAACTGTAGAACCATCGATACTACGTGCTGCAAATCGTTTATGAAAATGATAGTTGAGCCAGATAGGGGAATTAAGGTGCTTCTCTGAAAGACTGGGTTCTTATACAAGGGGATATTGGCTCTGGCACCTCTAATAAAGGCAGGGAAGGGAGAATATTTCTTTCTCACTTGCATCTTGCAAATACTATCTATACTGTAATTCAAAACTAAGAGGTGCTTTATGTGCAAAAAATTTCCTCGAAGGCAGCATTTTGCTTCAGGAGCAAAGCAGAAAGGTCCAAAACTTTTATGTTTTCTTTCTATTTACTCCCTTTCAAGATTGTGCCACTTCACAACTATGTTAAAGACAGTTTTATGCTAGAAATAGCTTTGTTAGGCTTACATATTTAAGGGACTACAAGGTAACAAGTTTATGTTCAGTGCCTGAAACACATTTGACTTGCTGTAGCAAAAGAAATTGGACAGAACAAATGTGATGACTAAAACCCCAAAATATGTGATCCTGGTGCTCTAATGTCACCTGCAGCTAAGGAAGCTGCATTTATTTCATTGGAGCTTATCCTGGACTAGAAGCAGCTGGATCAGCTCCTTGCCTTTTAGCTGAAGATGGAAATAAAGATATTTTAAAAATGGGTTTCTTTCATTATGGTTTCCACTGTGGAGAGGTGTTCTAAGGAGGAATAGCAAGTAGAGGCCTTTTGTCTGCAGTATGTACTCTTCATAGGCTTATTTTCTTGCTCAGGGAATTTAGGTTGTCAGGCTAACTTCTGGGTTATCAGACTGAGCGCTTTTGCATGGAAGCCTGGGCTAAATGGATAGATAGCATGTAGAGATGGGTTGAAATCTAAGAAGATATTGTTTTGACCGCTTACTCCAGCCCATCTGTATTATTTAAAAGCCTACAGATATTTCACATAGTTAAAAGACTTCTGCAGGGGAATATTACAGTAGTATCATTAATTTGGATTCAAAAACCATTGGCTATTTAGTGCTTAAATAAGTTCTTTAGAAAGCACACAAAAAATTATTTTCACAGAGATGCGTACACTTTACGTAATCTTTAAGATTTAGTCAAAAAGTGAAGAATGGCACTGTAGTAATTTTGCCCAGCTGCAAAATAAAATAGCTTTTGCTGCTAATTGAACCCAAGTCTTCATGCTCAATTCTAAATAGCTGTAAAGTCAAAACAATTTCAGTTGGTGAAGTATGAATCCAGTTGATTTATAATGACCATTTGTGTTATCCCTTCTCAAGTAGGAAGGAAATCTGCATTGCTGATCCTTGCTTATGGTTTTGTATGCATTTATACCCCAATCATTTTCTGGTCCATTTGGCTTCCTGTTTCTCAGCAAGTTGACAATGAAATGTCTGTGTATTGTTTCGACCAGTCGAGTTTCTGTTGCATTCTGTTCTAGTTATTCTGCAATAAGGTAATGGTGGGCTAATAGAAGTTTAGGCTGAGATGAGTAAGCACCCTGTTCCATAGTGGTGTAGATTGTAGCAGTTCCTATACCCACTTTCTAGCTTATTCCTGTATAGCAGGCAATCTTTGGATTACAAGCACTTGAAAAAGAATTAACCCCACTTCAATCACCAGCACTGTAATGGCCTTAAGAAGTCAACAGTGAGGTTTCTAAACATTGTTTCTTGGTCAATGAAGCCCCAGCATCTGCCAAGGCTAAATGTACTTTTAGTGCCACTAGCTTTACAATGTAAGGCTTGGAAAATAAAAGGTATTAGCAAAACAGGTTGAGTTAGTTATGTTTGATGTGCTAGCAGAGTTCAAAAAATGGCTCACTTAGGCTGGCTTCACACTAATAGTGTAGGATTTCATGACATGTCTCAGGTAATTCCAGAATTTGGCTAAAAGTTGCAAGCGTATCATAATCATCAGGAGAAGCACCAAGAGTCTGAAAGCTGCATACAAAAACTGTATTCGGGGATGATAAAAACGCACATGAATAGAACATTACTCCTGCTTGCCACCCTGCTCCCAAAAAGTAGGGGGAAAGTAGAAACAGAAAAAACCTTGCAGCAGAACTTCAAATGTACATTAAGCATCCATAAATTTAGACATTTAATGTGAGGCTGAATTTTTTTTAACATAACAGTGGGCTTCGGATAAATTGTCCAGGAGAAATTAGCACTGGACAACTGAAGAATTAGAATGAGCTCTATTAGAAAATCTAGAGTGGCAGACACAATTTTGAGATGTATCAAGTGAAACCATGATGCTGAAATCTCCCCCCCCCCTTTTTTTCCTCTTAAAAAAAAAGCCAGAATTTTGCTGGGTCAAAGACGGGCACAGCAGATGGCATTTGTCCTAGTAATGAACATTATGTATACATCTATGGCAAACCAAACTTGGATACAATTACAGCTACACAGAGTGTATGCTGCCCTATTCCAAATAACATCGCACCATTGAATAGCTGAAAGCCCAGTTGCATATACTGCACTGAGAAATCCACTTATAAATTCAGCCACTGCCACAGAAAGCTTCAAGAATTCAATGCTGATTATTACACAAACTTTTCACTCAAGCTGGACTAATTCTTGCAAATTCCTGACCTATACCCAAGCATTTACCATCACGGTCCAAGCTTCTGGAAATCCAAACTCCAGCAGCCTTAAGTACTGTAAGACAGATGCTTAGCATCAAGGAACAGGCAGACACAAGGAGTTTCCCACAATATAATTGACATTCAACCTGATCCAACTAGTGGATGGAATGACTCACCAAGAATCAGTTTCAATGACTCAACCAACTCAGGTGTGCCAGCGACTCTGCATATCATACTTCTGCCAAAAGGCAGAAAAGGCTAGGCCCTTGGTAAACTTGGGCCAGTTTTATAATCTCAAAGCATGGGTTTTATGCATTCCCAGCAGCGTAATCTGGGACCATGCTTGGTATAAATTCCCTTCAATAATCAGCCCAGGGTGGAAGGGGTCATGGCTTAAGCCAGTTTCAGACTACCTATGGTAATCAAGGAGGTAGTCAAAAAAAGAAACTGACCCAATCAGTGAAACCATGACCAGCCCACTAACCAAGCACCCCCCAGTGCTACCAGGCAGGCTTTTAGTGGGGAGTGTTGCTGGGATGTTACTTGGTTTGTATTGGGTACAGGTAGGCCAGGGACGGGATGAAATGAAAGCGCATTGCATACCACTCGGAGACAGGGAACAGCACATCTTTATCGCAGGGCAGCACAACGCAGTGCAAGATGCACCCTGACTTCCTGCTGGCCACTTAGTAGTCAGTCCCTCCTTTATCCCTCTTTAACTGGAAGGCAGTGCTTGCACAAAGATGCCCCGTGAATCTGTCCGTGCCAGTTTCGAGGGTGGCTCCATAGGCTCGGCTGTTAGGCTGCTGGATTCATTGGAGCTAAGAGACAATTCTTGAGGCATCTCCTCATCGCTCTCCTCCTCTTCTTCCTCTTCTTCATCTAATTCAAAAGAAAAAGCAGTTATATCAATTGGAGGCACAAAGCCAGCCAAGTTAGACCCTGAACGATGAGGCATTGAAATTTTATTTTCTTAGAGGCAATCCGTTACCAAGCAATCATCTCAAAACTAAGTATTCCTTCAGCCATAGAGATATAGGTTGGCCCCAAACTGTCCAAATTCCTAGATCTGAGGCATACAACACTGGCTCATTTCTGTAGAGGGAAACCTCTGAATATGTAACATGAGGGGTAAAATTACTCCTACCTTGCTCACTACACTTAGGAATCAGAAGACAAAAATTATTAACACTTTTGTCTAAATTAAGGGCCAGACATTTTGACTTGCTGACTAGTCAACAATCTCTTAACCACAAAATGGGCTAAGAGAGTGAGCTCCTGTATTTATTTTGGATTTTTTATTCCCACTCCCCTCTCTTGCATTACAATACAATACAGCTTTTAATGTTTATAAAGCTTTTATGCAAAATTATTATTTGTGCAAATTAATCAAAGCACAATAAATCACAAAAATGCATTTTCACTGTTACAATATCTTGTTAGTAAAAATTTATAGTAATGTGCCTTGATTTCATACAAATAATTCATAAAAATATAAACAGTGAAATATCCTATCCTGACTGATTTTTAATAATTATGCTACTTTAACAGGTGTATTAATTCACTTGAAGTAATTCCCTATTCTAAAATATTTATAAGTTAAATGGGTGGCGGTGTATTCTTGATATCACAATTAAAATGCCACTGCTTTTTTATTACAAGCTGCCATTTATTATTCTGAGTATTCTAGACTAAAACTGACTCTGGCTATAACAATCAGGTTGCTGAATGCTGCCCATATATTCATTCTTTGTATGTCTAAAATCAGTAATAAATTTAAAATATTATTTTTAAGTAAAATCAATTGACTTTTACTAGTGTTTTTAATACTAATTTAAATGATTTTTACTCTGTCTTGCTAGCAAAATCCATATTAATAACACCATAAATGAGAGTAAAATTCTAAGCTGTAGCAGAAAGAAAGCACATTCACAAAAAAATTAAAACAATAAGTGCCATAAAATAACATTAAGAATTCACCTTGTCTCAATAACAGCCCCCTTCCCTCAAAAACTGAATTCAAGTAGATTGTTAATGAAGCTGACTGAAAATGTGTCATTTAAAGTCTTCTTAAAGAGAGTGCTCTTTACTATACAATGAATATCCATAAGAAAGAGCCAAGCATGGTATAGCTTCTCCTTGGAGGCCTCATGAGAAATGAAATTTTTTCCCCCTAGTTTTCCTACAGTAGTTCCACCCAAAACGAATGCAGGCCTCCAAGGGAGGTGGCCTTATCCCTTTCAGTCTTAGACGAAATAAGGCATGCAATGGAGGAGGCATTCCCCCAACAGCTTTGGAGCAGATAGCCTGCATGTGTTACATGGATCCGGAACTAAGAAAAGGGATTTATTCTGTTTATTCTATTGTTCCTGCTTCACTACCATCCCTTAAAAAGGTTGAAGGGTAACATCACTTGGATATTATGGGCTTGAAGAAATAAACCTCAGAGGTGCTCTTCCTCTCTGAGTTTTGTTGTTGTATGGTGTTCCTCGTGTTATACTTCTTTAATGCTTAGATAACATCCCCAGCCACACCCGGCTAGGCTTTTCTCCTGTTCTTCAGGAAAGCAGAAACATGGATAATTTGTGGAAGGCTGGCAATATAAAGTCAACTTCCAGAAATTCAGAGGCAGTTTTACATTATGGGTAGTCCTTGACTTACAATTATTCATTTAGTGACCATTTGACGTTACAAAGGAACTGAAAAAGTGATTTATGAGCAGTTTTTAGACTTGGAACTGCTGCAGCATCCCCAGGGTGACTTGATCAAAATCTCAAGCATTTGCAGCTGCCATGTCTTTATGACTCTATGATTCTGTGGAAACTTACACTCTAGTAAACAGACAATTGTCAGAGTCACGTTTGTTTTCAAGGCAAACAAGCAGGAGAAAGATTAACTGAAGCCGAAATCTTTGGGAATTATTTCTAAAGATATAGGAAACCCATATTTTTAAGCCCTGGAGGGTGAGAATTTCTATTTTCCTTTTACATTTGCTGTTTTTTTAAAATTGTACACAATCATTTTGCTTTTATTCACTGGACTGAGTAACAAGGATTAGCACTCAGGAGAACCAGTGGTGGTATTCAGCCAGGTCACACCGGTTCGGCAGAACCAGTAGCAACGATTTGGCCTGAGTTGCCAAACCAGTAGCAACTTCTGGCTGGCCACACCCCTGACCTGGTGGCCCGTTGCCGCTCGCTCGCCCCTTTCAGCTGCTCAAATCGATGCTCGTTCACCTTTTCCAGCTGCTCGATGCTTGCCCCGCCCAGCCCTGCCCTACATATATATATACATTTACATATACATACATACATACATATATACATACACACACACACACATGTATGTATGTATGTATGTTGCCTTCGCCACGTGGCCCAGCTAATTGCCTTGCCAGTTGCCTTGCCGATGCCTCGTCAGCTCAGCTCACCAAAGGTAAGCAATGCATGCCGCCTACTCACCCTTCCCCTTGGGTCAGGGCCCCGGGCCCCAGGGACGTGCTATTCCTCGAGGCCCTGGAGCCGCCACCTGCCTCAGCTGGGGAATGCATGATTCCCTGGCTCCGGCCTTGCCCTGGAGCCGCCTCCCGCTCTCCCTTAAGCATGATGCATTACCCAGTTTCCCCTCCTTCAGAGGCCCCGGCCTTTAATCTCCTCGCTTCCTTCCCTACGACTGCCTCTTTCGTTGTCCATGACCGTGATCTTACTTTCCTCCTGAGGCAGGCTGCCAGGGATGGCAAGCAGGGCTGAAAGCCACTGGGCTCCCTGCCAGCCCGCATCTCACCCCCCTTGTTGCAAGATGCCTTCAGCCACTGCCTTTTTTTTGGTGCGGGAAGCCTCCCAGCTGATGCCTCTTTGCCAGCTGGAACCGAGCCGGCTGGCTGGAGGCTTCTTGTGCTGAAAAAAAGAGGCAGCGGCTGCAGGCTTTTTGTGCTGAAAACTAGTGGCCTCCGCTTTTCGAATGCGTCTGAGGGATTTCCCTGGGCAACTACCTCCGCTCTGGCACAGCAGGAAACGAGGTGCACCCTGGCATGAAGAACAGAGCGGTGAGTCCCAGCTGCTGCTTCTTTGCCAGCCGGAACCTAGCCAGTAGCCCATGTGCCGTCTCCTGCAAATTCCCCATTTTTTTTTAATTTTTATACACACATACATGCGGACACAGAGAAATAAAACTCGCTTACTTTTTCTCAAAACATTAATGCCCTAGCTAAAGATTGTTAACATCTCACTAGTTCTTATATGGGATAACCAACGCTTGGCAAGATCTTTAGGGGATTTATTTAAACCGTCCACCCCTAAGCCTAACAAGGCTATAGGCAGCTTACAAATGTAAATATAAAATCAGTACAAAATCAGTGTCAAAATCAATTAAATTATTATATCCTTAATCTAATTTCCAATCTAGAGATTTAGAATTCATCCCAAGGGCTTTCACCTGCTTCCAAACAACCAGGGGAACGGGGATCATCTTTATCTCAGTGGACAAGATACTCCAGAGAGTGTTGCAAGGCCTGGGCCTTCAGCAGTCTCAGCCAGCTGCACTGCCCCCAGGCCTTGACTTCTGCCCCAGTGTTGCCACTGCCACTGAGAAATGTCACCCCAAGCAGAAGCCACGTCCAGGGGATCCCTCAGATTGCAAACCTACTTCTTCCAGAAGGATGCAACCCTATCAAGATTCAAAGATAGCACAACCCTGGAATCAGTTGCCTCTGAATCAACAGACAATCCATCTTATTTGGACTGAATCTAAGCCTGAACAGAAGCATTAAAAATACATATCTCTCTTTTATTTCACTCTCTGTGCTGAGTTTAAAATCATGACATCTCCCAGATGTGCAGATAACCCTTAATTTCATCCTATGAGCTAGACCTGCCCACGGACAACAGGAGGACTCATTCAGCATTGTAAAGCTTTCCAGGAAATAAGGTATGAGGTAAATGCAGACCACCCCAAAATACAGCACTGAAGTCTAGATGTTTTGCATGCTACCTAAGCAGCATTCTCAAACTTAGCTGACATGGATTCTCGCTGTTCATTACATGAAACTTCATGGATGCCTCTCTGCCACAAACTGTCTTCCTTTTTTAGTCCTGGTATCAAGAGGCTAACCCTAGACAACTAACTTGTACTGGAGCAGAATCTGAATCAGGCATAGCAGCAAACATACCTAAACATGCCCCCTGGACCCTTTTTTCATACCAATGGAAGAAGCAATACTGACTCCCATTTCTAAAGGAGGGGATAATAATTCCAAACAATCTAACATTCTAAGAAGTAACCCCTTAAAACAATTAACTCCTTAAAGTGCTGGACAGTACCTTTATCAGGGTCCAAAGGGTTCAAGGAACTTGCCAGATTTGCAAACTTAAAAAGGAAACAAAAAACATGGATAAGCAATTACGTTCTCTACAGTGAGACAAGTTTGTGTAAGGGAGAGATGTAGGAACACACAGAGCTGCATAAACAAACATAACACTTATTTTTTATCCAGAATATAGTCATATGAATTTACCTTGATAACTTGCTGTTCCTGAGTGTCCTGCATAGGAGATTCCATTGACGATAAAGCATGAGTAATTATATATGGTTTCACATCTATAACTCTATTTTGGGTTTAGGAAAAATGACAGTGGAGACCCAGTCTGAGTTAACTTGGCATCTCCTATTAATTAACCCATTTGAAGTTCAGAACTACTACAAAAAAAAAACCTATCAGAACAGAAGAACTGATGCTCCTGATTATATGGCGTTTTGGTCTATATTCAGCTATAAATCAGATTTATAAGCCAGCTGAATATATACAAAAACTTCATATAATCAAAGATAGGGAAAAAGTATTTCTTTCATTAGGATACCCCTGCCAAGTGGATGATAATCAGAATTTGCAGAACGCTTTCTGCCAGCAAGTCATTCTTACGTTCAACAGCTACAAGACCTACCTCTCCCATGACAGCTATAGGAGTCACACCCTTGGCCTGAGCTACACGATGTTCTATCAGGTAGTACATATATTCATCATAGAGGAGGCGGATGAGATGAAAGGAGCCAAAACTGGCTGCACTTCTCAGGGTCAAGTCCCGAATCACCATGGAGCTGGAAAGAGAAGTAGCCCAGTGCTGCACATATCATTGAGGTAGCACACCATGGCTTGTTAATGAAGTCACAGCTTTGGTGCCAAAGAGTGTGTCTAACACCTGCTTCTCACCTTCCAGGTAGCTTCTCACCTACCTATAGAAGGACCACTTGAGGAGAAAATGTTTGGCAGCTTTGGGAAAGCTGGGGCTGCCATGGTAGGGTTTTAGGACCTGGCTGACGACACCATCCAGCCACACTGCCCACTGCTCCAGAGAGTTCTGCTGCTGCAGAGTCATTTTGAAGTCTTGTTCGAGCCGCTGTACCACACGGTCCTCACACCGGCACACCCATGAGGCCTGTTCCTTTGGAGGACCAAAGAGAAAAAGAAAATTCTTCAATGCAATTGCTGCACATACATGCTCTCTCTCTCTATGGATAAGCCAATGGCCAATCTGAGGTGGCTTAAAAAAATTAAAACATTGTGGAAACAGAGCAGCCAAAGTAATAATACATCATGAGCTATTATGAAATATGTTTTCTCTGCTTAAAAGGTGAATCATGAAAAAGATCAAACGGCTCACTAACTCTAGATTTTCTAAAATGATTTGTGGGACTGAGGATCTTTCCTCCTCTCCTCACAGGGGTCAATCAGGCTGCCCGCTGCCCTATGAGGAAGAACAACTGATCCCTCTGCTCTGGAAGTCATTTGAGCCTTTTTGAGTAGGCCCTTCCTATTATAACTGGTCCATTACAGGATGGGAAATTAAACATTAAGAACAGGTGCCTGAATTATCTGTTTTTCCCTTTCCTTCTGTAATATATTTGTCAGATTATAAAGCTGGCAGCATGGGTGGCCTGGTTTTTACTCTTCTAAAAGTCACTCAGGGGTACAAACACTGTAAAGAAATGACTGAGAAAACAACTTTGATTATGAGATTAGTGAGGTAAATACTTTTTTCATTTTTTTAAAAAAAGAATGCTAACCCAGATGGGCATAGTAAACTAAACCTTCTTATGTCTGTATTTGAAGCAATTCCCATATTGGCTACTTAGTTCACCAAAAATAACTGTGACAAAAAAGCTTTGCGATAAATAGCACCCTGGTCATCTGAGTCAACAAGAAAATGAAACATTTTTAGTTTCTAGCTGGTAAATGGAAAAGGAAGAAAAAAAACCAGCAGGGCCAAACTAGGGCATAACGATATAGATGGTTACCTGGACATTAGCAAAATCAACCCGGTTGAGATCACTTAGCATCTGATTAATTTGAGCTGTATTCTGTAAAACAGCCCGGGCAGCCTGGGCAAGATGGTTTAGAGAAGTGTAACGTCGCAGGGTCTGGGCAAAGGCACTTGCTGCAGCCACCTGGGAAAGAAAACACAAATGACATAACTTTTTTCTCACCGTTCTGCTTGGTGAGAAGGAACTAAGGAGTTCAGAGAACAATTGCAAAGTAACCACAGTGGTAGCCATGGCTAGGAGGGCCTTTCATAGATTTGGATTGTGTAGCAGTTGTGCCCATTCCTGGATTTGAGGGGGGAGATACTCATAATTACTCATGCTCTTCTGATCTCCAGACTGGATCATTACAACGTGCACTTCATGGGGCTGCCCTTGAAGAATGTTTGGAAGCCTCAGCTGGTGCAGAATATGACAGCGCAGGCAATTAAAGTCTTTGGGGTTTGGGTGCATGTAATACCACTGCTCTGTGAACTGTGTTGGTTTCCAGTGTGCTTCTGGTGAGATTCAAGGTACTGGTAGTTATCTTTAAGGCCCTTCATGGCTTGGGACTCTGTTACCCCAATTGTTTCTACCCGTCCACCAGTAGGAGAGGCCTGCTCCAACTAACTTGTCAACTAAGTAGTATTGGCTGGTGGGACTCAGGAGGAGGAACTTTTTGCCATGGCACACATTCTGGAACATCATTCCACCTGAGATCATGTTAGCCCCAATCCTGCTAGTCTTAAAATTTGATTCTGTGTCCGGGAGCGTGATAAAGCCTGCCTTTTGCCTTTGCTGAGAGTTAATTATGAAGCTTGCCTGCTATGGTTTTGTTTTTATTTTATTATTACTTTATTTATGATTTTGTTATTATTATGAGCCATGGTGGTTAGAGTGGGAAGAAGAAGAAGAAGAAGAAGAAGAAGAAGAAGAAGAAGAAGAAGA